ATGATTGGTTAATAATTTGGGAACTCTGATTGGCTATAATGTAAACGTTGATTGGTTAATTATAAAATGATTCGATTGGTCTATTTCAAGGCATTTCAATCCACTACGATTATTCCATATCATTACACTATCCTATAATGAATGGATGAGAAACACTTACTTATTTCTCTCTCAACACTATACAAATACTTTATCCCTAATTTGATTGACAATAAATCAATGGCTTGGAAAAAAGAAATATTCTCCTTAAAATAAAAAATTATATATTATAAAATACGTAAGAATAGATACATGTAACATAAACAAAAATACAGAGGCCTTGGAATGTTTTTTTTTTTATTTTTGACCTGTAAAATCACAAATTTTCGTGGGTGTTTAATTTTCATGGTTTTCAAGGTATGAAAATAGTCAAGACTTACAAATTTTATCCTCCATCAAATAATTTTTTTACAACTATTACTAATCAACGATTTTTCATCCATAAGATCAATTCCCAACAGACTGATATTTACTCCGTAATCCACGAAATTTTGACTCCAAGAAAATATGTGATTTTACAGTATTTGGGATATAAATAATGTAGATAATAATTTTTCCAAATATTAAGAAGTGTAAACTTTAAAATTTCTGAAAATACACCAAAAAAATAGTCTTAAAGTGGTTATAACTTTAAATGAATTATTTCTTGTTTTGAAAGATATGTTAAAATAATAATAAAAATCCTGGAATGCAAGGAAAATACTAGCTGCAGAACTGTAGCTCTCTGCTTGAGAAAATTCGGACAGATAAAGCAGAGAGCTTCAGATCCAAGCGTTGTAAAAACTGCTTTATCTGTCCGAATTTTCTCAGGCAGAGACCTACAGATCTTCAGCTAGGGAAATACTCTCTAGATCGAAAAAAGCTTTTACACATATTAATTAAACTCTGGAAGATTTGAACTTTTTCAAAAGTAATCCGGAATCCTGCTGTTAACTTGAAGAAAAAAATTGAATTGTAAATTTCTGTATTTAATGCATGGTTAGCTATATGGGGAGGTTTGTCGTGTGTCTTTCTTGAAGTGGAATCTCGAACAGTTTACATTCTCCTACAAGTAATAAATTGTACGAATTGTTAGAAATTCTTAGAATTTCAACCTTAAATCATAACAGTACCCGGTAATTTGAATATTAATACCACTATGCACAGAATAGTAAATAACAAACAGTATTTAAGTTTTTTTATTCAGATTCCCCGTTGTGGAAACAAAGTCAGTGCTTGGTACTTACAAGTTTCTGATTCAGAATCAAATTTTCACTACATTTTAAATGGTTAAAGTGTAATTTGATTTTAAAAATTTGTAATTGTTTGAATGGAAATAAGCTTTAATTATGTTTATGTATTTTGATTTTCAGGATTTTTGCTATGTTCACTATATACATTTTGGTCAAATTTATTTAAACTCCTTATAAAACAGGAGGTACAGGTATATATTACTCTATAGAGTATAAATGGAGAAATTCGGGTTCTATTTTTTTTAAATCAACTGAATTACTCAGGTGACCTATGGTAATCTGCTTTTGTCCGTCGTCGTTGAACGTACATAAACTTTTGAATACTCTTGGCTTTTTCTCATAAACTGCTGAACCAATTTCATCTAATTTTGTTGTAGAGCAGCTAGGGACAGAAATGATGAAATTGTTGGTCTCTGCTCTTTTGTGGTCTTAGGTTTGGGGCAAATTCCGTGGATGCTATTACAATTTTAAAACAAAACTCTTCATCTTGACATCAAGTAGTAAAACAGTTGGCTTGTTTATAACATACAATGGGTCCTAGCCAAAATTAAAGAATTTCAAGGCAGCTGAGTCAGGGGTCCCGGTGATAAGGTAGTTCTCTATTGTTTACACAGTGAAAATGTATTGAAGATCTTTTTCTTTGCATCCTAGTATTTAGACATACTATAATTTTGTTAACACGTGGTCATGATCAGCAAGTAAAGACTTCCATGGCCCCTGCGTCAGGGGTTTTTGTGTTTGTTTGGAGTTCTACTCATAACATTTAGAAAATGTATAAATTCTTCGAAGATCTTCTTTGTTCCTTGGCGTTTTTCCAAAAATACTCAGCACAGATTATAATAAGCAATAATTATTATTTGTGAATTTCTCGCCCTCTTGGTCTTGGACTTTATTGTTGTATTACTTATATAGTAAAAATAAATTATTTATTTGACAATCGTCTTCTCTGTCCCTGAGTATTTAACAAACATATTTAACACTGGATCATGGTTAACAAAAGTGTGCAAATTTAGCCACCCCTGAGTAAGGAGTTCTGGCTCTGTTGAATATTTAGTTAAATGCCTCAAAAGACTGAAAATATTCTTTGCTCTTGGGTATAAAGCAGATAAACTAAGTGCGTGGTTTTGATGAGCAAGTGTGCCTATTCCAAATTGTGACATTTTCGACCCCTGGCTTATATGCAATATGCACATATTTCATGTATATATGTGAAAATGCAATAATTCTGTGAAAATAGGAGGCACCAAAGTACAAAGATAGTAATAAGCAAGGGTCATTGACCAGATTTTTTTTTGGGGGGGGGGAAATCTGGATCACAAGGTTAAGTGTTCTGTTGTTGGTCTTTAATGAATTCTAAAGAAATATGTCCACAATGAATTGCTATATTTAATGTTAATATTTAAAAAAAATCATGTCAGATAGACTTGTATTTAAGGAGGTACAGCCCCCCCCCCCCTCCAAAAAAAAAAAAATTCTGTCCTTTAATTTTCGCAATTTTTGTATATTTTATACAAGACTATATAAACAATGTGCATGCGTATTTTGGACAAAATAGTTTGGATGTTCCAAACGATAATCCATTTGCTGGTTCACGCGGAGAAGAAAATTTCAATCTGCAAGCTTTAAATTCATTGATTTTCCAAAAGGTTGAGCTAGTTTGACTTTCCATTGAGCCATTCAAATGACCATCACCCACACACAAAAAGTATTTTGTAGAGGTACATATCGGCAACTGTTTTTTGAAGAACTTAAACTGAAAAACTACATGTACATGTTCATTTCAGCCTTGAAAATGTGTTTTATTTTCAATTTGAGTACTTTTTTAAATGAAAAAAACAAAACAAAAAACAAAAACAAAAACATAAAACTATTTTGGAAAAACTTTTTTATGTTACTGGTTTTAAAAAGACGTTAAACTTTAATTGTGTTAATTGTTATATCTTATGGACAGAAAAAAAAACCCTTGTGATTAACGTGATAACTTTTCGGTGCTCAATTTCTTTTATTTATTTAACAATAAATTTTAAACCTCATCTCCTGCCCATTAAGTTTATGTCTTTCATCTTATTCGATACACAAGAACATTCTCTTCATAAGACCAATTGTGGATTGATGAAATAATTATATTAACAACCACTTTTAAAGTCAACATTTAGAAAGTTCTGTGGTCAATATAATGACCTCGACAGCAAATACAATCCATTATTATGTCAAATGCTATATTTATTTGACGTTTTTAAAACTTATTGTAAGATCATTTTTTACAACTGATTTGTCTAAAGATTTTTCCGTCTTCTTGATCATGACCAGAAGCATACGACGGATGATCTCTTCTCCATCTCACCTTAGTTTTAAGAGGCCCGCTCTTATTATTATTATTTCAATAATAATAATAATAATAATAATAATAATAATAATCATAATGATAACTGTTCATTTTCTACGTTCTTTATTGAACCATTAATACATTTAGACTAAGTTTGTCTTTCGTATGTTTGGTATGTCCCGTTATCGAACATTTCGGGGCCGGTGTAAAGTTTTGCTCTGTTCGTCCGCCTGTCTACATATATCTGTTTGTCCACAATAACTTAAGCATTGCCGATAAATTTTGATGGATTTAATTAAACTAAGATTCTCACATTTTACAAGTGTATTTCTTGTGACAAGAGCTATTTTTGGGTCAAACATATTTGACGTCATGGCATTGACATTGAAGTTTGATCCAATTTCGCAAAAGTTTACCAAGCACTAACCGTGGCAATACTTTTGAAAATAATAAAATAATGAAACCGTTTCATGGGAAAAAATATTCTTGACCTTTTGAGTATGACCGTTGAATTTTACGCACTTAAAACATTAATATCGAGAATAACTTTTAAACAATTAGTACTAGGTTACTTCTAAAGTATGTGATAAGACCTTCATTTGGATACCAATAATTTTAACCTTTTGACTTTGACCTTGAAAATAACTTTTGAACAATTAACGTTGCTGCTACAGCTGTAAGGCTTTCATATTTCACAGGTATATTCATTGAGAACAAGTCCTTTCTTTGGGTAACTGTATTTTTATAACTTGACTTGGAGTTTGTCTTCTTTGCCAAAAACTGTCATATTGGAGTATCAGTGTTTAACAAATACACCTTCTTTTAATACAAAAGTTAGTTTCATAATCTTTATTATTGCATGTAGGTTTGGATATTGAGGATGCAATGTATATGCAATGTCAAACACCTTTTCTTGCGAAATATAAATTTAAGAATGTCTTTGATTGAAATACAAGACAGTTCAAATTATAGAATGTAACACAGGGAACGCACACAGTCCACTGATATTATGTTTATCTTCAAATTATTAATAAATGGAACTCGACGACTATTCTCTTTGTTACATGTACCTCTATTATACTTGTCAGAGATATATCAGACAGTTTGTTTTAGGTTGCAATGAAACTTATTATGGAAGAAATTGTGATCAACACTGCTCGACAAAATGTATTGAACAAAGGTGTGACATCGAAAATGGAACATGCTTAAGTTGCCCACGTGGATGGACAGGAAACGTTTGCGAAGAAAGTAAGAAAATCGTGACTTGTTTAAATTACTTTAATGTTTTTCTTAATCTCTTATTGCTTATTTGATGTAATTGAAAATTGTTTATGCATTTCTTAAAACTGGAATATAGAGATACATCTAGATATGATTCATATGGCTTGCTTTCCATTGAAAAGAGTGTCCAAGAGGATGGTATGGGGTTGGTTGTAGACAGCAGTGTGTAACCTATTGTATAAATAACGAGGTTTGTAATCACGTGACCGGTCGTTGTGACAATGGGTGTGCTGATGGATGGATCGGGAATTATTGTGATGAATGTAAGTGTAATAAACGTGTATATAATGCACATGATCATCTTTTTTTATTTAAGGGGACCGACTGGGTTTTCTATTGCGCAATGCTTCGCGCATCATAAAGAAATAAAGCATATTCACATATTTAAAGCACTTTTTTTTGCATGATTACACTGAAATAGATTTTAACAAAAATTAAAAAAATATACCAGTATAGGTTAAAATTTTTTTACAATTATATATAAATAAATTTGGACACCGTTTTTCAACCGAAATGTAGATTGACGTAGTAATATTTTGTTTGTAACTTGTAATTGGGTCATGACAAAAGTGAAAAAAAGAAAAAAAAAATGTACGGTATAAGCATTTGAAAAAAAAAAAATGTACGTTATTCAGCATTTGAAATTTTAAACATAGAAATGTGAGAATCTCACAACTATTTTCGTTTTTTTTCGCCAATATCAATTGTTTCTGTCACATTTTGTAGTTTTCTATAAAACAGTAAAATTTCGTTAATTTTGACATTTTAAATACCCCTTTGGAAACCAGAGGATAGAACTTTTGTCATTAGATTTTCAGTATTAAAGATTTCAGACAGAAATACATTGTACCCCAGTCGGCTTCCTTTAATACAAATGAAAGGAAAATATCTTAACTTCATAATCGAATGTGGGTTGAAATAATGGTTTGTTATTACATATATATGGCGACTGTTAACAGCATGTACAAAAGGAAGCTATGGCCCTGGTTGTGCATATAACTGCAGTGGTCATTGTCGTAATGATACCTTCTGTAACAAACAAACTGGACATTGTGACGCAGGATGCAAACCGGGATATACAGGGAATTTATGTAACAAAGGTAAAGGGGAAAACATTAATTAAAAGAATGTCATTTAAAGGATTATACAAACATTAAAATATTTTGTTTCAAAGATTTTTTTCCCTTTCCTAGAATGCATTTCTGGACATTTTGGACCAAGCTGTAAGGAACACTGCAGCCAGAATTGTTGGAATGATGAGATCTGTAACCACATAGACGGAGTATGTACAAATGGATGCAAGGATGGATATATTGGAGAGAAATGTAACCAAAGTAAGAAAAAGACAGCTGCAATAAATCTAAGTAATGGTCCTGTATTAGGTCCTTTAAGCTGGGTAAATTCCAGCTCAGTTTTATCCTTTGTCGTTGATCTTTTACCGCAATTTTTTCAACTTTTTTTTCTTTGGTTACTGGGGATAAACCCTAGTTCTCCCTATAATTGGAACTATTTTTTAGAGCTTCTCACATCTTACGATCTGTACTCTCATCCTTTTATTTAAGGCTCCTAAACATTCACTATATAAAATGTTTGATTCGATCAAGTAATGTTGTGAATTCTGTTAGATATAGATTAACATTTTTACTGAAATACGAGGGGTGTTAGAAAAGTTCGCGGACAAGTTCTGTTGTGAGCGCGCTATTTCAACGAAACCGGTCAACATTTCCAGATAAAATCTTTACCTTTTATCCAATAAATACACAAGAATTTGGTGCTCTCCGGTGATTATTGAAATATATGCAGCTTTTTTATTTTGAAAAAAAAACTTGCTTCACGGAGCATGCTACATTTTGGCACGTTTACATCACAAAGACTCTTTATTAAAATTAAAAATTGCACAATTGTAGAGCAAAGAGATTTATGATATTTTACCTGCCGCTAAAGTATTCATGAAACGTCACTGGGAGAAATTTTGAACTAAACTGGAGGGTATATGACTGTTTTATAGTCGTTTATAGATGATCAACGTGTAATAACACAGCCAAAAATCGGAACGTCATTGAGCGTCATGGAGCACTGCACTGCGTGAAAATTGTGTATGCAGGCTCGAAAATGTCTAAAAAGAGATTTCAATGTTGAAGATACCTCCGGGAATTTCCTACACCTACAAAAGACAAGTTTTCAAATGGTTGAAGCTTCAAAAGAATGGAAGGATTAACATTTTGAATGATTAACTCCATTAATACTTCAGTACCCCCGTATCGCATGGACGTTGTGTTGCGCAAATATGGTTTTGCATAGTTTCCATACCTGATTGATTAACTGCATAGACTTTTTTTAAAGATCTCAATAATATCCGATCAGTACAAAAGACATTATAGAAGAAAAGTAACATGTCTTGATATAGATATTTAATTTTAAAGTAGAAAAAGATAATAAATATCTGAAGAAATGAAAGATTTATAGAACTGCGACAAAGTTTAACGGGTTGAAATCTGGTTGTCACGTCACCTTACGTCAAGTGATTGCTCCGTGAATCCCATGACCTCATAGTAAAAATCGTTTAAATTTTCAAGATTTTATAATATGGGCCTGATTTTTTACATACCAATAAATAAAATGTAGGAATTTATTCAGACATAGGTCATACTTCACAGTACACAACAGATTTTCCGTAATTCAATGTGTCCGCGAACTTTTCTAACAACCCTCGTATTTGATAATTATTACTCATAATATAATTCATAAGAATTACAGTCTTATAAAAAAAAAATATCGGTACATGTAAAAGAGAATATTTTATTCCAGTTTGCTATAGTTATTTTACATTTTTTATGGCAAAAGGCAAAATGACGGAAGGACAAGCGCACATCACCAATCAATTTATATGGTTTTTTTGAGTACTTTATTTTCTTTTTTTTCTTTGAACATTTGAATGAAAAACAATTATCACAATAATATATTTTAGTCTGTGACCAAGGATATTTTGGAAGAAATTGTTCTGGTGTTTGCCCTCAGAAATGCATCAGTCTATGCGAGTTCAAAGACGGATTTTGTGACTGTATCCATGGTTGGAAAGGCTCAAATTGCAGTGAAAGTACGTTAAATTTGAGCGCACCGGAGCACAAACACATACACTCACCCTATACATATGAATCGTTACTATTTGATAAGAACAATAATACTTTCCTTGTAAAGTGATTAGGTCCTTCGGATGGATAATTATTAAACTAGCTGAGGTATACATGTACGTGGATAAAATGTAATGTTACTTTTGCTTTAGTGTATTTTATTCTGAGATTAACGTACGATTCAAGCCAAAATATTTTCAAAGTATATTTACATGATCAATATAAATATAGTTACATGTTTGTACAGATACTTACAATAATAAAATTTTATACTCTCTTTGGATATTTAGAATGTCCTTTTGGAAACTACGGAATAAATTGTGAGGGGAAGTGCAGTTTACACTGTGGATTTAACGACTCATGCGATATATACGAGGGAACTTGTCCACGGGGATGTCAAGAACCCTACACAGGATCAAACTGCTCACAGCTGCCAAGTAATTCAAATTAAAAAAAATCAGAAATACATTACGTTCTTTTTTCAGAGTGAAAACCAATTACAGCGGAGCCTCATTTATCCGGACGCTTTGGTTCCTAGTCAAGTTGTCCGGATATGTGAAGCCTCCGTATATCTGAATTACCAGCTAAATAAGATAAATAAACGTTAAAAAATTCCGTGCCGATGAATAGTCGTCCGGATACTGAAGCATCCGGATTTCTGGCGTCCGGATATCTGAAATTCCACTGTATAATATCTTTATTTTAAGTATTTTTGTTCCTCTTCTCGTTAATTTTTTTATCATTTTTTTCTGAAATAAAATCTTCCAAATCCTTTGTAGAGTTGTTTAAGCTGATTTGATATAAAACAGCAACCACTATATAATTGTTGATTCCTTCATACATGTAACAGACTAGTTATAGAAACTTTATTTATTAAGGTGATCTCCTTCATCCGATATCTACCAAAGATTCCGTTCTTCCCATTCCCATGCCCTGGTTTCTAGGATTCACTCTGTTGGGAGTGCTTAATTTGTGTCTAATGATAGGAATATGTGTTATAAGCTGCAGGTATTTTTTCTTAAAATAATTATCTTTTTACAATTCACTCTCTTTTCCTCTGAAAAAATTCTTTTATGATGCAAATATCTATATGTTTGTTTTCTAAAATCTGTACAGCGTTAATGGTAAATTGTTTTCACAATCAACTGCTACACATTTGTTTTCTTAAAGGGCATGCTCAAAGAAAAAGTGTAACACTGTTTCTCAGAACACCCAAAGTTCCAGTTACATTAGCAATGAAAGAGGAATCACTTCGTATGAAATACACAACTATCAGGAATTAAGAAATTCCAAAGACGAAATCCATTATCAAGACATTACTTCAATTTGAATTGTACTACAATTACCAAATTACATGTATTTTATCGTCTCACCATACTAACACTTACCTTAAACCTGTCACTAAGATATACGAACTTTGCGTGGTATAAAGTGGACAAAATGTATAGAGTGAAAAATATTTAACATACATATCTTTATATATTTATTTATTTCATTCCATTTGTTGATATATATTGATAATTAATAAAATGATACTTTTTGAAACTACTCTATCATTTATTTATCACAGTATATCGTTATTTTTATTTATTTATTAAATTCACTGGAAAAATATACTAGTATTCAAAGCATAGGTTTGATAATTTCTTGGTACATTTTAATCATCATACTTAAAATTCATTGCACTTATGATGCGCAATGGCGCCTATAACAAAATTCTTTATTTCCTATCCCCGGCATCAGAGGTTCTGGTGTATGGGTTGGGATCTGTTAAAGAGATCGTGAAAATGAATTTATTCCTAGATAAAGTCTGCTCTTGGGTATTTTGTGCATGGTAACATGTATGATAAGCAAGTATTCATTTATCAAAATGGGACGTTCATATGGCCCCTTAGTCACTGTTTCGGTGGTGCTCTGTAGTGAAAAATACAACACCGCTTCGACGTTCGTTTCTTATCCTGTGTATTGATCAAAACAGGATAAAGACGAATAATAAGCAAGGATCATTTTACCAGATTGTGAATTCATGGAACTCTGGGCTTAGCAGCACTTTTTGAAATTGTAGAGAAACGTGTACTCCACTGAGAGAAGTTATTCCCCTTTTCTATTCATCTAATATGATAATTAATTACTGCAATCGATGTACAATGTAAATGAAAGGTTAAACTGCTTAAAAGAAAGAAAAAAAACAATTATAATGTGTAAGAATACAAGAAAAAATCATTTACAGTTTGTAATAGTCATGTAGATATGAAAATGATACAAAAAAGTGGATAAGTGTAAATAACTGTAGACAATTACTGTAGTTTAATAATATACACACAGTGTATTTTTGCATTTACGAAGCATTTAAAAAATGCAGATATCTTACTGCACATGTTGTCGAATTTGCTTCAAGCATTTCTTCAATCTGTTTCGGCCGCCATCAATTGCCGATGGAAATTTGAAAATTGTAAATGTAGCCGCCACTTATAGCCATGGAGTAGTGAGAAATTTTCTTTCCATTTTCCAACCTTTACTGTAATTCGGTATCTGTTTAAATCTAAAATTTCTCACATTATAAAGGAAAGGACAATTTCTCATTTTTGAATCCACAGTGTAATGATAAATTCTTAATTCATTCCAGTGGAATACTCAAGATAATTTATTTAAACAAATATTTTTGTAAATGTTATAATATTAGTTTGTTGTCATTACCAAATGAGTGTAAAACTTGACAGCTCTTCAAGTTCAAGTTAAGTTTATTCACTCAAACCATATAAATGGTACATGAGGTTCAACAATATATGTACAATATATACAAAAAATAATATGCAGGATACACGTGAAATGGCGGAAATACATTCATATGAAGTAAAACAAAAATAATTATGGAGGACAGACTTTTTCGTATACTCTATTTATGTAACTGCAAAGTTTAATTAATACCTTGGAGTCAGCAGATGACAACACTTCTGAGAATTTGAAAACATTTGGTCTATTACAATATTTACTAGGAAGATATTTTTTTCTATATTCGGAAAAATATTTACATTCTGAAATATAGTGATACTCATCAGCTATTTGTCCATTATTACAAAGATTACATAGTCTATCATTTTTGGGAATTCCAAACCATCTCCCAGTCTCAACTGGAAGACGATGATTTGCTGTTCTTAGTTTAATTAAAATTGTTCTAAACTTTTTTGGTAGTAAGGCTAAATATTTTTCAAATCCAAATTCTGTTTTGAAGATACTATAATTAAGACCTTTAGACGAATCGCGCATATTACTTCTCCACTTCTGTATGTACTGATCTTTAAGACGTTGTTCAACTATAGCTTTTAGCCATTTAATATTTAAAAAAATCTGTTCGTTCCATACATTTGAGAAGCCACAGCTATCAAGTATATTCTTAATACATAAAATCTAAGGGTTCTTATGACTTCCTGAACAAAACTGTTCAAATAAATGTCTATATGTAACATAAACAATCTTATTTTCAGGGCTTACCAATAATTTTGCCCAATAGGATATCATTCTTGAATACACTGTTATATACAAAGGGAAGCGACCTGTTTCGCCATAAACCATATAACTAGGAGTACTACTCTTTAGATTAAAAATATATTTCAAAAATTTAAGATGAACGCGTTCAATCATTTCAATGTTCTCGAAACCCCATATCTCACATCCATAAAGAAGTACTGGAGTGACAACTTTATCGAACAAATCAAGCTTACAATCCACTGGTAAATTAAATTGTCTAATTTTTCGTATAATTCCATACATGGCTTTTTGAGCTTGCTCACATAAATGTTTTTAGTTTTACAGAATGAACCTGATCGGGAAAAGAGTATACCTAGGTATTTAAATTCGTTCACAATTTCAATAACAGAATTATTGTAGTAAAATACATTTTTTACAGATGAACCTTTCGAAAAAATCATAATTTTTGTTTTGTCTACATTGACATTCAGTTTCCATTGTACACAATACGAATGAAACTCATTTATAGCATGCTGTAAACCCTCTGCAGACTCAGGCATTATAACTGTATCGTCAGCATAGAACAGAATAAATAATTTAAAATACAGCAAAATTTCATTTTCTACAGAGTTTGAACTGCTTACATTATTAAAAGATAGCCCATGCACATTTCTGCTGGCGAGAAACTCTTCTAAATCATTAATATACGAGCAGAAATCAGTAGAGGTGATAAATTTTCTCCTTGGCGGACACCAATATTACAATTGTAAAATTCAGATGAAAGACCATTCATAGTCACAAGGGACTTGACTCCATCATACATGTTTTTAATAAAAGTAAAACATTTACCGCTAATGCCATTATTCAACAGTTTGTACCAAAGCCCATTTCTCCACACAGTATCGAATGCCTGTTTGAAGTCAATAAAAGCACAAAAAAGTTTCTTTTTGAGGGACATCACCATGTTTGTAAGAAAATGTAAACTAAGTATATTATCCAAGGTAGAAACCTTTCCGAAAGCCAGTTTGACTTTAGCTTATAAGATTTAAGTTCTCTACATAACATTCCAAGCGTTTACATAAAATGGAGGTAAAAACCTTACCAAGGCAACTTAAAAGTGTTATTGGACGATAATTTTCTGGATTTGTTGGGTCACCTTTATTCTTAAAAATCGGTTTGACAATAACCGTGAGCCATTCGTCTGGAATGATTCCACTATCAAAAATCAAATTAAACAGTTTCTTATATACAGGCAAAAATATAGCTATTGTTAATGAAATGTGTTCGTTTAACAACTGGTCGTAACCTGCTGCCTTATTATTTTTCAGTTTTTTAACTGCACATAAAATTTCTTCCTCACTAATCTCTAAATTCAAAAAATCATCCCATTCATGGGTATCTGTTGGGAAACTTAGAGTATCGACATCTTCTACGTCATTATTATGACCTTCATTGATGCCCTTCAGAAAATCAAACATAGCATTAATACTTACAGCACATTTATTTAATGCATTAGGACCATTTAAAATTTTCCAGTGATCTCTAGTATTTGTTGAGCGTAATGATTTCAAGTTTTTTTGTTATGCCTTTCCTATAATCTTTTATACATAAATCCAAAATCTTTTTCATAGTTTTTGCTTTCTAAATGAAGATTAGCTTTATTTTCTAAACAAGAATTTTTACTATTTAATCGCTTTGCCAAATGATATTTCGTTCTCGCCGTCCTGCACTCTTTATTGAACCAGGGTTTATCACGTTTGTTTTCACAATTATTTTTCTTAAAATTGCGACTAAACCCAATTGTTGATTTAGCTGTGTTTAAAAATATACCACATAACTTATAAGTAACATCGTTTGGAGTGTCTTTACTAATGTTACTTATTTCTGTACTACTGGTCAAAATATCTAATTCATTCTCTATGTCCTTGACCTTAGATATATCCACATTCTCTGGGAAATGTTTTGCTTGGTCTTGTGACAATAGTTTTACACGTGACTGATTTTCAACAATATCTTCACACCTGTGTTCTGTGAAAAACGCTGGTAAAATAGAAAATGAAACTGGGTTGTGCACATCCGAATACAGGTTACAGAAGTCAGAGATATCAAAATCTTGAATAATTTCAAACAGAGGTGCTGTGGCAACCACATAATCCACCGTGCTACTACCCTTACAAGTTAAACCTCCCACGTATTTATCACTGCCAACACGGTCATTTACAATATAAATATCATTGTTTTTGCAAAAATCAATCATTTTGTATCTAAAGTTATTAACATGGACTTCTTGTACCACCCTATGGAGAGGAATCTTAAAGTTATCAAAAATAATAGTTCTGGACTCTATGGCTGTCTTAAAAAATTCCTCACATTTGTGTAATTCTAGCTGAAAGTCATCAGCTTCAAACCAGTCATGCAAATTGCCCACTCTGGAGTTAAAGTCACCCATTAAACACACATATTTGCTATCTTTAGATATATAGAAATAAATTCACTCTCAATGTCTAGAAAACAATCTGAAGATGTATAAATAATATTTACTGCCTTCCGGGGGCAGGTACACGACACCAAATATTGCATCTTCATCATTATTAAACAAACATTTACTTATCTTAAACCAAAGAACATATTTACAAGTGGTGTTCAATATTTTCACATGTTTAACCAAAGTATCTCTTACAGCTAAAATAATTCCTCCTGATCGAATTTTTGACTATTTTTGTCTATTTTTCATAAATAATGTAAAACCTGGAATCTGAATTATATCAGCGACATCAGTTTTTGTCTCGGTAAAACCGATAATATCAAATTTGGATATGTAATCCAAATATTCACTATAATTGAGTTTATTTTTAATTCCGCACACATTTAAACTAAGAAGTTTGATAGAGTTGTTTGCTGACTTCTGGCCCTCCGCGCTCTCCTATTTCGTCGGTGTCGAAGATTTCCTGAAGCGTTTGTTTCCCCGTGGGCGTGGT